GAGTAGTTTTCCTGCTGTTGCCTCTCCCTTCGAAACTTCTGACACTTGAAGTCAGTTGGCATTTTTCTGCAGAAGCCACTAAGTGCCTTGATAAGGGGTATCAGTCTCCTGCTCAGATGTTCAAGGGTAAGTGGTGTTGACCCAACTTCAGCCTTGTTTTTCAGTGTATTTGATCATGGCTTAACTTCTCTTCAGATTAGGGGAAATGTGCTGAAGGGGAAAGAGAGATTTGGATTCCACAAAACATGAGTGTGATCTCAAGAGCCTTGAGACTCTGCACCAGCACCAAGGTACTCACCCTCCAGGGAACCCAAAAACACAGAAGTAAAGTGTAACCTTTTTTTTTTTTTTTTTGAGAAAGATAAATTGGAAATATTCACATTAAAATCAAGAATAGGAAACATAAAACTTTGTTTACTTAATAAAGCAATAAAAATTTGGGTTTGCAATAAGAAAAAGAAGTTGGGAAGAAAAGGTAAAGAGAAGGAGAGAGAAAACTTCGTTAGGTGTGAGGAGAGAGTGCTCATGCTGAGCAAGCTGGTATAGTTGAGCTTGCTTTTTCGTGTAGGCACATGTTATCATGTCCTTTTGAGATTCAGATTGTCTTCCTAAATGTTCGGCACACTCATGTCAGCTTTAGAAAATTGCTACTCAACTCTTTCTCTCCAATTTTAAAGTTTATGTTTAAAATGTAGGTGTTTTTCCAGGGAATTCACAAATACATGTGAATGTGAAGAAATATCATGGGGCTGTCAGTTCAATTATTTAATTAAAGCTGTAAGTCTCTTGCTGTTTAAAAGATGCCAATTTGGGGCCAACCCCATGGCGCACTCGGGAGAGTGTGGCGCTGGGAGTGCAGCGGCGCTGGGAGTGCAGCGGTGCTCCCGCTGCGGGTTCGGATCCTATATAGGGATGGCCGGTGCGCTTACTGGTGGTCTTTGAGAAAAGTATGACCACCTCATTCATAAGGGCCTGAAAGATCCATTTGAAACCAGCATTTATCCCCTATAGTTGTCCCCCACATCCAAGTCAGTTTTTATAACCTAATTATTTTCTTGGGAAGGAGACGTGCATGTTCTGAAGAGAATACAAAACAAATAAAATGTATGCATTAAAAAAAAAA